CTGAGGAGAGCGGGTGCTGTGCTTTTAGGAAAATGCCCAATTTGCGTAGGAGAGTGAGTGTGGGTGCTCCAATGGGCGCTGCCCTCAACCAGCAGCTGCTGGAGCACCCAGAGACTGGGCAGTGGAGGAGGCAGGAGCCAACAGAAAATGTGGCTGCCAAGGCATCTCGGGGTGCTGGCAGGCTGGGTTATCAGAGCTGTGAAGTCTCTGCCTGAGAAAGGTAAAGTGCTGCTCTTTCCTTCATTGGCCGAACCCTATGGGGGTGTATGCTGTGGCATAATGGTAGCACTCACCAAGTTATTCATGTGTTCCCTTATAATTCGCAGCCTCTGTGCCAGGGAGCCTGAGGCCTTGTGCCTGAGTTCTGCTGCAGAACTCTATCCTCACCCTTTACCATCTTCCCACTCTTCCCTGAGGGCGGCCCTGGATGCCAGGTGTAACACACACCTCTGTGCCCCGCCCACTCCCCTCAGCCCTCACCACTATTGCCCAGGCTGGAGTGTAGTGGTATAATCTAGCTCACTGCAACCTCAGTTTCCCGGGTTCCAGCAATCTCTTGTCTCAGCCCCCTGAGTGGCTGGGACTTTAGGCGCCTGCCATCACGCCTGGCTAATTTTTGTATTTTTAGTAGAGATGGAGTTTCACCATGTTGGCCAGGTTGTCTTGAACTCTTGACTTCAAGTGATCCATCCGCCTAGGCCTCCCAAAGTGCTGGGATTACAGGCTTGAGCCACCTCGCCCGACCTTTCACCACTATCTTGTAAAGGCTGCTCACTGAAAACAGCTCAGACCCTGCCTGAGGGCTTTTTTTTCTGACATTAGGTTCACATTTGGCCCAAGGCAACCTGGAGGTGCCCAGCTAGTGCCCCAGCTGGTGACAGTCAGAGATTGGTGGAGACATGCCACCTCCTCCTTCCTGGGGAGCGGTTACTGGTGTCGTGCTCTCCCCAGCTCCCCAGTGGGATCGGGCTCTGGTTGCCCACGTGGTAACTGGCTGGCAGCTCTACCCTTGGCTGGCTTTCTTCCCTCTCCAGCATCACTTTTGTTCCTTGCAGGGTTCCCCAGAAGCAACTTCTTATAAGCTATATGCACTCATTTCCTTTTCTCAGGACTGGCTTCTGGGGAATACCATGGATCTTTTTAATTTTTAGTTGTTTATTTAGAGACAAGTTCTCCCTCTGTCTCCTAGAGTACAGTGGCACAATCATAGCTTACTATAATCTTGAACACCTGGGCTCAAAAGATCATTAAGTCTCAGGGTCCATGCCGGGTGCAGGTGGCTCACGTCTGTAATCCGAGCACTTTGGGAGGCCGAGGCGGGTGGATCACAAGGTCAAGAGATCGAGACCATCCTGGTCAACATGGTGAAACCCCGTCTCTACTAAAAATACAAAAATTAGCTGGGCATGGTGGTGCACGCCTGTAGTCTCAGCTACTCAGGAGGCTGAGGCAGGAGAATCGCTTGAACCCAGGAGGCGGAGTTTGCGGTGAGCCGAGATCGCGCCATTGCACTCCAGCCTGGGTAACAAGAGCGAAACTCCGTCTCAAAAAAAAAAAAAAAAAAAAAAAAAAAGGAAGGACTACCTGTCTTGCTCTCTGGCCACTCCAGGCATTCAGTGAGTATCTGCTGAATGAATAAATAGAGCATGCTGTGCCCCTTTCCCAACTTTTTGCCTGTGTGTGTTTTTTTTGAGATGGAGTGTCGCTCTGTCGCGAGGCTGAAGTGCAGTGGCATGATCTCAGCTCACTGTAACCTCCACCTCCTAGGTTCAAGCGATTCTCCCACCTCAGCCTCTAGAGCAGCTGGGACTACAGGCACATGCCATCAAACCTAGCTAATCTTTTTTTTTTTTTTTTTTTTTTTTTTTAGTAGAGATTGGGTTTCACCCTGTTGGCCAGGATGGTCTTGATCTCTTGACCTTGTGATCCGCCCACCTCGGCCTCCCAAAGTGCTGGGATTACAGGCCTGAGCCACTGCGCCTGCCTGGCCTATGCCTTTATTCTTAGTTCTTCCCTTGAGATGCTCTGTACCCTCCCTCCTCTCTCTTTCCACATTTCCAAAATCCTTCCCATCATTCAGACCCATTCAAATGACTCTTCATCATGAAGCCTTCCCTCACCCCTCGGCTTTGAGCCTCCTTCTCCCTGCTAACTCCCCATGGCACCTGACTTGCCTTTATCAGATCACTTACACCTTATACTTTGGATTCTTATTATTTCTGTACCCACCTCTGTCCCCCTAACAGAGCACCAAGATCTAGCCTTTGCTCTCCTCTGGGCCTCTGCCCCTCGCTGATGACTCCCCCGCTCCCCCAGCGGCACAGATGTCGGCCACAGACAGCAGACCCAGGATCGCCCCATGCCTTTCTACTTCCTTGGCACAAGGAAGCACGGCTGCTTGAGGGCAGGGGCAGGGTCATCGTTGTATTCTCTCTTCCCTCTTCCCTGGCACAGCACTTGCTATGCAGTAGGTGCTCTGTAAGTACTCAGTATAGGAAGGCAAGGGTACAGATTGCATTCTGCAACTTTTTACTCCAGATGCTGCTTCCTTGGAGCCCAAAGCAGCCTCCCTGAGCCTCCTTTTCCCCGGCTGGGAGCTCACTCATGCAGACTGGCCACCTCCAAGGTCTCTCCTGCCTCCTCACCCTATCACTGCTAAAACTTTGCCTAAACCGGGTCCCAACCCAGCACCATTTTAGACATTTGCATGGCCTGACCACAGCCAGTAGGTGGGGGGAGGCTGAGCTGCAGGGATTTTTCTGGTCTCACAAGGTCTCTTGGCTAGAGCCCAGGAGAACAAAAGTTGCCTGATGAAAGGGCAGGGCTCCAGGGTTGAGCGAATCACATGGGGCGGGGTGGTGCTGTATTTCCTGCGGTGCTGAGGAAGTAGAAAAGCATGGGGGTGAACCTGGGTCTGCTTCCTTTAGCCACCATCTGTGCTGATGGAGGCGACCGCAGGGTGTCTGGGGGTGGGGGTAGAAAGTGGGGGCTAGATGAGTCATCAGGGAGGGGCAGAGGCCCAGAGGAGAGCAAAGGCTAAATCTTCCCCAAACCCTTCCAGTTCAGGCTGCCAGAGATGGGGTGGCAGTTTTTCTGTTTTGTTTTGTTTTTGAGACAAGAGTCTCACTCTTGTTGCCCAGGCTGGAGTGCAGAGGCACGATCTTGGCTCACTGCAACCTCTGCCTCCCGGGTTCAAGCTATTCTGCTTCAGCCTCCTGAGTAGCTGGAATTACAGGTACCCAACACTACGCCCAGCTAATTTTTATACTTTTAGTAGAGATGGGGTTTCACCATAATGGCCAGGCTGATCTCAAACTCATGACCTCAGGTGATTCACTTGCCTCGGCCTCCCAAAGTGCAGGGAATATAGGCGTGAGCCACCGCGCCCAGCCTGGAGTGGCAGTTTTTCCAGCAGATCTAACACCGGCATTTCAGGGATTTTCGCCCCTGAGCTAGACCCCATAACCCTACTTTGCTCTGAGGAAATCCTCACCAGGGTGCCAACCTCTTGCTAAGGGCAGCAGTAGATACCCCTGGAAATGACTAGGGGAGGGATACTTACCTGGCAGGGGAGATACTATGATCACGAAGGTGGTTTTCCCAGGGTGAGGCTTATCCATTGCACTCCGGATGTGCTGACCCCTGCGATTTCCCCAAATGTGGGAAACTCGACTGCATAATTTGTGGTAGTGGAGGACTGCGTTCACGCTTTCCCCTCTTTTTTGTGTGTGGCATAAGTCATAAGTAATAAATGAGAAAAAAAAAAAAAAAAAAAGGAAAGAGCATTGCGGAGCTCAGGACTCAGGCTAGCAGTTGGGCCAGTGGTGCATGGAAGGTGAGGGAGGAGCCCCTGCCCCCGAAGGGGAGTGGAGCTGCTGAGAGGAGCTGCATCTTGAAGGAGGTGGGCCCAGGTGGGGCAGCTCGGCCTTGGTTGGCTAGAATTGGTGGGGCCTGGGAAGGTGGGAGCTGGGAGGGTTAGTTACCCGCTTGACATTCAACACAGAAAAATCCCTCAACAGGAAACTTTATGAAAGAGTCGTCTGTAGTAGCCAGCAAGAGGCACTAACTAGTGGTTTCAAGAGGAACTCAACTAGCAGAGCTTGCTAGAACTTACTGTGAGAACCTTGGTAGAGCTGCTAGAAACCGCAGAGAATTACAGACAATTATACAGGCTGGGCCAGTGGCTCATGCCTGTAATCCTAGCACTTTGGGAGGCTGAGGCGGGTGGATCACTTGAGGTCAGGAGTTTGAGACCAGCCTGGCCAACAAGGTGAAACCCCATCTCTATTAAAAATACAAAAATTAAGCCGGGCGCGGTGGCTCAAGCCTGTAATCCCAGCACTTTGGGAGGCTGAGGCGGGTGGATCACGAGGTCGAGAGATCGAGACCATCCCGGTCAACATGGTGAAACCCCGTCTCTACTAAAGATACAAAAAATTAGCTGGGCATGGTGGCACGTGCCTGTAATCCCAGCTACTCAGGAGGCTGAGGCAGGAGAATTGCCTGAGCCCAGGAGGCGGAGGTTGCGGTGAGCCGAGATCGCGCCATTGCACTCCAGCCTGGGTAACAAGAGCGAAACTCCGTCTCAAAAAAAAAAAAAAAAAAAAAAAAAAAAAATACAAAAATTAGCTGGGTGTGGTGGTGCATACCTGTAATCCCAGCTACTCGGGAGACTGAGGCAGAAGAATCACTTGAATCTGGGAGGCAGAGGTTGCCATGGCACTCCAGCCTGGGCAACAGATCGAAACTTCATCGCAAACAAAACAAAACAAAACAAAGACAATCACAGAAATGAAACTATTTATTTAGGCAGCAGACTAAGGTAGTAGCTCAAAGCGAGAACCAGCCCTCCTGGGATGAAATTCCAGTTCTTACTCGGGTGACCCTGGGCACCTTAACCTCAATTTTCTCTTCTAAAAAAAATGGGGTTAATCATCAGACCTATTTTATTAGGTTATCATGAAGATTAAATGAGTTAATATAGGTAGAGAAATTAGAACCGGAATCTCAGACTCAGTCCTGGCTGCACTGAGTCTGAACCTGTATTTAACAAGGACCTCGGTGAACCGAGTCCACATTAAAGTCTGTGAAGCACCTGGAGGCCACACCAGGCAGAGATTGAGCTACTTTAAAAAGGAGGCCAACAAGACTTAGGCTGCCTTGCTGTGTGGGATCCCCACGGCCTGGAAAGACCCCAGCGCGACATTTCACCTGGGAACACTGCGGCTTCTAGCCTGGCCGGGACCCTACACGTCGGTGTGCTGGGACAGCCTGGTGCCCAGTGCCAAGGTAGGGGCGCGGTGGCTAAGGCCACCCCCCCAGAGCCCGAGAGATGCAGCAAGGTCCAGCGGCGGCTTGCTGGAGTACCAGGTGCTCAGGAGGCGGTCCACCTGCTCCTGGCTGGAGATTGCGCGCAGATAGGCCTTCCCGCTGCCACCGTCCAGGTCTTCTGGGGGCTCAGGCACTGGGCAGGGCTCAAGGCTCCTCCCTGCAGGGTGGCGGCGCAGCCCCCGCGCCTGCAGCTCATTCTGCATGCTGGCGAAGAAGTGCAGCACGCAGCGGTGCGCGAAGTCCCGCGCATGCTCACAGCAGGTCTCGTCGAAGAGCTTCTGCTCCAGGTCGACGTAGTTGCTCCAGTATCTGCGCTGCAGGAAGACTGTCTGGTCGAAGAAGGGCCTCAGGCAGCGGGCCAGGAAGGCCAGGATGATCAGCAACAGAGTGACGCTCCAGCCAATGGCCTGCAGGGTAGGGAGGCCCGAGATGAGGTGTGGGTGGGGCCTAATCCTAAAAATATCTACTTATACATGAGTATATGAATGTTGCATATTTGACCATGTCTACATAATAATATTCTGCATTTTCCAATGGATTCAAATACTCCTTAGAGAATTTGACTACAGCATATCACTTCAAACATCATAGTTTATTAATCAGAATATTAAATGAAATGGGAGCCAATAATGGGCACAAAGAAAATTAATGTGATCATCAGATTACATGCCCTCTTTTGGATCCCTATAACCTTGTAAACTGAGTTAACTCTTAGAGCATCTGCTACTTGAGGAATTGTCCTGTATAGTGTGGCAAAGATATTCCAAAGTCCCTCCTTTTACATTTCCCATCCATCTTTCCTCAAATCTATCCACTTTCCTATCAGTCATCGTCCTACCAACCATCCTCCATCCATCCATCTATCCTCCTTTTCATTCATTCTCTCATCCTTTCATCCATTCACCCGTTCAACCATCTCTCCACCTATCCAATCATGCATCCTCTTGTCTGACTGTAAATCTGTCATCTTCCCATCCATTCAACCTCCTATCCTTCCATCTGTCCATCATCCATCCTTCTCTTCTCCCATCCATTCATGCTGCCATATGGTCCTCCTTCCTTCCCTTGATCTATCTTATGCATCCACCCCCTCATTCAACCATTCATCATCCATCTTCTCCTAATTTTATTTATTTATTTTATTTTCTGAGATGGAGTCTGGCTCTGTTGCCCAGGCTGGAGTGCAATGGTGCGATTCGGCTCACTGTAACCTCCACCTCCCGGGTTCAAGCGATTCTCCTGCCTCAGCCTCCCAAGTAGCTGGGACTACAGGTGCATGTCACCATGCCCAACACATTGTTGTATTTTCAGTAAAGATGAGGTTTTACCATGTTGGCCAGGCTGGTCTTGAACTCCTGACCTCATATGATTCACCCACCTCGGCCTCCTAAAGTGCTGGAATTATAGGCATGAGCCACCATGCTAGGTCCCTCTCATCTTTTTTATCCAGTCCCTTGTCATCCTTGTGGGTGTTTATCTGTCTATCTTCTCATCTAGGCATCCACTGTGCTATATTTTGTGGGAGGCCCTGTGCTAGGAACTGGGGGCTCAGTCTTTGCTCTCACAGAGCTCATACCTTAGTGGAGGAAATAGATAATTAAATAGGTGATGACTGGGTACGTGTCTTAGAGAAGGAGTCCAGAGGAGGGACACCCAAGTTGACCTTGAGGGCCAAGACTGACGGATGAATGACAATGACACACAATGTGAACAGAGGACAGTGTTCCAAGCCAGGCGTGAGAACAAACTGGAAGCAGTTCTCTAAAGCTGGAGCCCACACCCGGCAGACCCCTCTTCCTCCTTTCCATGTTCCAAAGCCATAGTCTCTTCAAGGCCTAGTTTGAGACCTGGGCACTTATGTGGACCTGGAGCAGGGAAGTCACGCCGCTAAACCGCAGGGACATATTTGAATCCTTATCATTTACAGAAGTGATTTCCATGATTTATAAAGCTCTCTCATTTGGCATCTCACAGGACTCACCCCCATCAGCAAATTTAAGGTGGGTAAAACCAAACAACTTGCTAAACTTTACATGACTGACAACTTACAGCTGAGTCAGGATTCAAACCCTGGTCTCACTGCAAATTTCATGCTCATTCCACTGAATTAAGGAAAGCCTAGAGTATTGAAGCCTGCAGGGATTATCAAGATGGGGGTGACCAAGCTCCCCTGTATTTTGCATGAGAAATAGGTTCAGAGGGGTAGTCCCATGGCCAAGGTCACAGTCTGAGCCGGAATCAAGAGCATCCTGCACCCTGGTTCTCCCTCCACCGCACCGTTGGCCAGCCCATGAGCCTGTCAGACTCCCCAAGGGGCAGGGGCTATGTCTTTATTATCTATAGCTCTGGTGGTGCTCCGTGTGCAGTGGGTTCACATGCATACGTTTGGTGGACACAGCCCCAGTGCTGGGGCTCTGGGAGCAGCGGTGGTGGAATCTGGAGTCTGGGCTGGGAGTCGAGCTGGGGTTTGTCCCCCAGGATAATAGAGTTGGTGCCTTTTGGGAAGACTGGCATCTGGAAAGGACCTACATTGTTGGAAGGTGGTTAAGAGGAATAATGAAATTTCATCAGATCCCTGCTCTGCCTCTTATAAGCTGTGTGACTTTGGCCTTATGAACTAAATTCTCAGAGCCTGCTTCCTCACCTGGAGAACGGGATGATAATTTTTTCACCCCAAATTAAATGAAATAGTACATATAAAATGCTCACTGCAATGCCTGGCACACAAATGCTCAAAAAGTGGAGATTAGTATTATTTCTCATGGGTGGGAAGGTGCGCAGTGCCTCCTGGGGATGGACGGAGCCCATCATCTGTCATTCCTCATCACCCGCAACCCCACCCCAGAACCAATGCAGGGGATTGGTGAGGGTGCAAGGGTAAGAGGAAGATCACCCATTACCTGTGACAGGCACCGCAGGTAACGAGACACCGCCTTCCGAGCAGGGCTATCCCTGACCAGCTCGTCCTCCTTGCAGGCAACCTTGGCCAGGAAGAGCTGTACCTGACTGGGGGTCATGTTGGCAAAGTCCAGAAACTTCTCAGGGTCCACAGAGCTGCTGAAGGCACACACGAAGCACTTCCCATCAAGGAGGGCCAGCAGGATCCAGACCAGGGGTGCGGCCAGCGCCCTCTGCAGCACAGAGGAGCACATGTACCTGGGAGCGGAGGAAGGAGGGTGTCACAGGGGGCAGCCCGAAGTCGGCCGCAGCAGGGTGGCTACGGGAGGAATGCAAGGATGGACTGCTGGGAAGTCCCAGGTGGGGTTACATCAGGCTGCAGCTCCCAGTGTAGAGTTCTCAGCAACCGAAGGCAAGGAGGAAGGAGGGCTGGGGGCCCTGGGATCCCTAGGGCTGTTGTACGGAGGAGTTGGCATTCCTCCTGTCCTAGGCCTTGCAGCAGACACTGCTGGTGCCCTGTCCATGCCTGAGGCATCCGTGGCTTTGGTCGCTTGTTCAATTCATCTCCTACCTCAGGCACCTGCATTGTTCTGCCCCCGGGGCTTTGGAGGATTTTTTGCTCCAGAGAGGGGTAGGCTGAAAGCATTCAAAAGTTACCTCCCAAATCAGTCTTCAACCCCAGACGGACAAGGCCTTGTGGATAAATATCCCAGTTTCTTTTTTTTTTTTTTTTTTTTTTTTTTTAACTCATGATTTCTCTGCCCAAGCAGGCCGCAGGTAGACAGTAACCACCTGTGCTTAGGGGACAGGCAGCATCATTAATCAGGGGGTGTATGATACCATTCGTTATTGAACTTGATAGGGCTCCAGTTAAAGTTGGGTAGGGAATAGAGAACATTCAAGTCCCCCAAGCCACAGCATCGATATATCAACATATAAACAGGTAAGAAATAAGTTGTACTTAAAGTCAGAGAAGTGACCCCGAAAACAGTTCAAGGAAGTTTAATAATTTGTTGATCAAATGTAACCAACCTACAGGGTGTGATGGCTCGCGTCTGTAATCCCAGCACTTTGGGAGGCTCAGGCAGGCAGATCACCTGAGGTCAGGGGTTTGAGACCAGACTCGCCAACGTGGTGAAACCCCATCTCTGCTAAAAACACAAAAATTAGCCAGACGAGGTGACAGTCACCTGTAGTAGCAGCTACTCAGGAGGCTGAGACAGGAGAATCACTTGAATCCAGGAGGCGATGGTTGCAGTGAGCTGAGATCAAGCCACTGCACCCTAGCCTCAGCGACAGAGTAAAAAAAAAAAAAAAGTGACCAACCTGTCTGTTTACTCTCTTCTCTAGATCTCCCTCTATGAAAATATTTTGGAGGTTATTGAAGGTACAGTTTCGATAATATGAGGAATTCAAGCATTATCTTGTCTGGTCATGATAATTGTTAATAATCATCAATGTACATTATTTTACTTGACTGCTTTATCAGATGATGATGATGATGGTAATTGATGATGTTGGTGATGATAATGCTCATGTGGTAACTTTCAACTAAAGACCCCACAAGGTTACTGTGCCCCAAGCCAATCTACTGGTCCAGATTGGTCCTTCTTCGTTGCTGAAGTGGCAAGTGGGCTCGAACTGCCTTTTTCTCCCCTCCTCACATTTTTATGTGGGTGGCTTTAGATGATCATCGAAGGCCACCTTGGAAGGAAAAAGTCGCTACAAAAGGGAAAGGCAAAGGCACATGTTTTCTTGGCATCTACCCATGCTAGGCTCATTGTACACGGTTCCACATGTGATGCTCAGACAACCCGTGAGAATGCTGATGCCGGCATCAGCAGCCCCTTTTTGTTTGTTTGTTTGTTTTTAAAGATTATAAATTGAACTTTATTTTTAATTTTTTTTTTAATAAGAAAAAGAATAAAGAAGAGGAAGAAAGAGAAAGAGGAAGAGGGAGAGAGGATGGGGGTATTGCTTTATTGTCCGGGGTAAAATGCAATCTAAATATGGGTATGCCTATAATTGTCCTTAATAATGGAGATATAAAAGAAAATGAGGGAAGAGAATAACAAACAAGGAGCCAACCAACATTTCGTTTAAACTTCTAAGTTGATATGATGTGGTACTGATCTACGTATTCCTGTATTGGGTGTGTATATATTTAGGATCTTTAGCTCTTCCTGTTGTTGCATTGATCCTTTTATCATTATGTAATGTCCTTCTTTGCTTCTTTTGATCTTTGTTGCTTAATTGTAACCTCTGCCTTTTATTTATATATTTTAGCTCTCTGGTTGGTTGGTAAATCCTTCTCCATCCCTTGTTTTGAGTCTTTGTGTATCCTTGAATGTGAGATGGGTCTGGATGCAGCATACTGATGGGTTTTAGTTTTTTATTCAAATTGCCTGTCTGTCTTTGGATTGGGGGATTTGGTCAATTTAAATTTAGAATTAATAATAATATATGTGAGTTTAATACTGCCACTTAATATTAGCTGGCTATTTTGCCCATTAGTTGATGTAAATTCTTCATTATATTGATGCTCTTTTTGGTATTTTTTTAGAAAGGCTGATACTGTTTGTTCCTTTCTATGTGTAGTGGTTCTTTCAGAAGCTCTTGTAAAGCAGGCCTGGTGGTGATGAATTCTCTGAGTGCTTGCTTATTCACAAAAAAACTTTATTTTTCCCTCACTTGTGAAGCTTAGTTTGGCTGGATGTGAAATTCTTGGTTGAAAGTTCTTCTCTTTAAGGATGTTGAATATTGGTCTCCACTCTTCTGGCTTGTAGGGTTTCTGCTGAGAGATCTGCTGTAAGTCTGATAGGCTTCCCTTTGTGGGTAACCTGACCTTTCTCTCTGGCTGCCCTTAGTATTTTCTCCTTCATTTCAACCCTGGTGAATCTGACGATTATGTGCCTTGGAGTTGCTCTTCTTGAGGAATATCTCTGTGGTGTTCTCTGTATTACCTGGAGTTGAATATTATCCTGCCTTACTAGGTTGGGAAAATTTTCCTGAATAATGTCCTGAAGCGTATTTTCCAGCTTGGATTCATTCTCTTCGTCACATTCAGGTACACCTATCAAGCGTAGATTACGTCTTTTCATATAATACCATATTTCTTGGAGACTTTGCTTGTTCCTTTTTATCCTTCTTTCTCTAATCTTGTCTTCTTGTTTTATTTCATTGAGTTGGTCTTCGACCTCTGATATCCTTTCTTCTGCTTGATCAATTCGGCTGTTAAAACTTGTGCATTGGCCGGGCGCGGTGGCTCAAGCCTGTAATCCCAGCACTTTGGGAGGCCGAGGCGGGTGGATCACAAGGTCAAGAGATCGAGACCATCCCAGTCAACATGGTGAAACCCCGTCTCTCCTAAAAATACAAAAAATTAGCTGGGCATGGTTGTGCGTGCCTGTAATCCCAGCTACTCAGGAGGCTGAGGCAGGAGAATTGCCTGAACCCAGGAGGCGGAGGTTGCGGTGAGCCGAGATCGCGCCATTGCACTCCAGCCTGGGTAACAAGAGCAAAACTCCGGCTCAAAAAAAAAAAAAAAAAAAAAAAAATAGCCGGGCGCGGTGGCTCAAGCCTGTAATCCCAGCACTTTGGGAGGCCGAGGCGGGTGGATCACAAGGTCAAGAGATCGAGACCATCCTGGTCAACATGGTAAAACCCCGTCTCTACTAAAAATACAAAAAAAATAGCTGGGCATGGTGGTGCGTGCCTGTAATCCCAGCTACTCAGGAGGCTGAGGCAGGAGAATTGCCTGAACCCAGGAGGCGGAGGTTGCAGTGAGCCGAGATCGCACCATTGCACTCCAGCCTGGGTAACAAGAGCGAAACTCCGTCTCAAAAAAAAAAAAAAAAAGAAATAAAAAATAAAACTTGTGCATACTTCACGAAGTTCTCGTATTGTGTTTTTCGGCTCCATCATTTCACTTATATTCCCCTCTAAATTGTGTATTCTTGTTAACATTTCGTCAAATCTTTTTTCAAAGTTCTTCGTTTCTTTGGATTGGTTTAAAACAAGTTCTTTTAATTCACAGAAGTTTCTCATTATCCACATTTTGAAGCCTGCTTCTGTAATTGGAACACACTCGTTCTCCATCAAGCCTTGTTTCGTTCTCCATCAAGCCTTGTTTCGTTGCTGATGAGGAACTGTGATCCCCTGCTGAGGGAGAGGCGTTCTGATCTTGGGTATTCTCAGCCTTTTTTGGCTGTTTTCTTCCCTTCGTTATAAATTTATCCATCTGTGGTCTTTGTATTTACCGTCTTTGTAATTGGTTTTCTGAGTGGACGTCCGACTTATTGATTCTCAGCGCCGAAATCTGAGCAACCCACTGTGCCGACTAAACCAGCGGCGTTAAGATTGACGGTGCTTTTCTGACTCTGCGCCAAGAACCGACGCTCCGAGGCGCCAGCAAAACCGCCTCGCCGGTCACAAGAGTCGCGCTGGCGACCCGACCCGTGGGGCTCCTCCGCTGGGAATCTCCTGGTGAGTGAGCAACAAGAATTCATGCGAAGGTGTGGCGTCCTCTCGTTCTTTGCGCTTTCACTGGGAGCTACAATCCCGAGCTGCTAGTGATCAGCCATCTTGGATCTCTCTCCCCAAATATCCCAGTTTCTTAAATCCTCAGTGGGACAATTCTGAGGTGTGTTCTGTGCATGCTCTGAGGGGGACCCCTGAGGGATTAAGCCCCCGTTGCCCGCTCATTATCACATTCTTTCCAGAGCCTGCTTTCGGAGGAGAGCCGAAGCTAAGACAGCTCTGCCTGGTAACCCTCCAAAGGTGGCACCTCTAACACCTCTATCCACAGTGCATCCCAGGAGCCCACCCTCCGACTGGCCTCAGGCATATTTTTTGACCAACTCTGCCCCTGCCTGTAGTGACCTTGATGGGATGCTGGCCACAGGACAGGAGCCCAGTGGAGCTGTGCCCGCTGGACCCCAGAGGAAAAGCCAAGGACACACCCAGTGCCTGTGACCCACCCTGCACAGCTGAATTGCAGGGAGATGTGATCCCCAGAACACAGAACAGAGGCTCGGGGTGCACCGGGTGCAGATGCTGTTTCTGCCTTGGATTGTACACAAAACCTCTAATGGTGGCCAGGCGCCATGCCTCACACCTGTAATCCCAGCACTTTGGGAGGCCAAGGCAGGTAGATCACCTGAGGTCATGAGTTCGAGATCATCCTGGCCAAGATGGTGAAACACTTGCTCTACTAAAAATACAAAAATTAGCCGGGCATGGTGACAGGCACCTGCAATCCCAGCTACTCGGGAGGCTGAGGCAGGAGAATTGCTTGAACCCAGGAGGCGGAGGTTGCGGTGAGCTGAAATCACACCACTGCACTCAAGTCTGGTTGACAGAGCAAGATTCTATCTCAAAAAACAAACAAACAAACAAACAAAACAAACAAAAATCCAATGGTGTGTGCCAGGTGTATGTGCATGACCTACCCACCAGTGTGAGCTATAAATATGTTCTAGGCAGTGGTGGCTTTAGCATTTTCTTTTCTCTTCCCCCTTTTTTTTTTTTTTTTTTTTTCAGGGTGTCTTGCTCTAGCACCCAGGCTGCAGTGCAGCGGCCCTATCTTGGCTCACTGTAACCTCCACCTCCTGGGTTCAATCAATTCTCTTTCCTCAGCCTCCTGAGAAGCTGGGACTACAGGTGCCCACCACCACGCCTGGCTAATTTTTGTACTTCTTAGTAGAGATGGGGTTTCGCCATGTTGGTGAGGCTGGTCTTGAACTCCTGACCTTAGGTGATCCACTCACCTCGGCCTCCCAAAGTGCTGGGATTACAAGCATGAGCCACTGTGCCTGGCCTTGACTTTAGCATTTTCTATGGATGGCAACGTGGTTAGACGATGCACCTGGACACTCGTTATGAAGTTACATTAGATATATTTGAGAACACCTCTACTGTCCATATCAGAGAATGGGGGAGAGGAGGAGATGGTGTGTGAGCGGAAGCCCACCAAGCCCTCCTGTCACTGCCTGCAGATATAGAGCACTTAGAGATTTTTTCTAAAACAGGAAGGGCAGCTGTTCCATCTTGGCCTGTTCAGTCAGCCTGGGTTTGAAGCTGAGCAATGACACTTCCTGGCTGTGGGAGCTTGGTCGAGTTACTTAAATTCTCTGTGACTCAAGTTCCCCATCCTTAAAAATGGGTCCAAGGTGCAGCTTGAGAACTCAGGTAGAATTCAGAGAGGCCGTGCACTCAAAGCTCTTAGCACCGAGCTTGGCCCTTCGTGAGTGTCCGATGAATTGCTCAATTCCAACTGACTCTGCTACAGAGCGCCATGCATGTGCTAGGCTCCGGGGCCATAGCATGCAGTAGGTAAGGTCCTCACCCTAGGGAGCTTACAAGTGATGGATGCAGCCTTTTTTTTTTTTTCTTTTTTTTTTTTTGAGACGGAGTTTTGCTCTTGTTGCCCAGGGTGAAGTGCAATGGTGTGATCTCCACTCACTGCAACTTCTGCATCTAGGGTTCAAGCAATTCTCCTGTCTCAGCTTCCCGAGTAGCTGGGATTACAGGCATATGCCACTATGCCTGGCTAATTTTTGTAATTTTAGTAGAGATAGGGTTTTGCCATGTTGGCCAGAATGGTCTTGAACTCCTGACCAGGTGATCTACCCGCCTCGGCCTCCCAAAGTGCTGGGATTACAGATGTGAGCCACCGCTCCAGGGCGCAGCCTTTAAGCCAATCGTTACCTCTCACTACGTGCAAAAAACTGCTATGCATGTCATGGGATGGCCCTTCAAGCATGTGGTGAATTATAATCCATTTCCAGTGTGACTGATGTGATGTTGGGGCTCAGAAAATGATACCCAAAAATCAAGAAGCAAAAGTTTTTTTTAAATCTTCTCCTGTCCCTTTACCTGCTCCCCTTCCCCTTCACCCTACCCAATCTCTGGCTCCTTATTCTCACCCAAGACTAGTCAGAGAAACTAGAATCCATCTTCTCCAAGATGGATCATAGAAACCAGAACCCCTTTTCTCCAAAGCTGCCTCCATAAAACCTAAAAATATGACTCGAACTTCCCCCTGCCTTTCTGTCTAAGAACTGGCCATAAAGAAATGATCTGATCTACTAGTTTCATTGTAGGTCATAAGACTCCTTTCTAGAGAGGGTCCTGCCCCATGTGTGGGAGAAAGGAACGCTGTATATAGAGGCCAGGAAGAACACAGACAGCCTTGCTGAGTTTCCCCACTCTGTCTATAGCATTAGTTCATCCCTGTTTTTGTTCAATTCTATTTCTGTGTGGCTATCCAGACCTTGTTGAACCTCAGCATAAAAATGGACCGTTTCCCCTGTTTCTTTGGGTCTTACTCTGCCTGTGGCACATAAAAACTAATCAAATAAATTTGTATGCCTTTTCTCTTTTTTTTTTTTTTTTTTTTGAGACGGAGTCTTGCTCTGTTGCCCAAGCTGGAGTGCAGCGATGCAATCTTGGCTCATTGCAACCTCCACCTCCTGGGTTCAAGCTATTCTCCTGCCTCAGCCTCCAGAGTAGCTGGGATTACAGGCACGTGTCACCACGCCTGGCTAATTTTTTATTTTTAGTAGAGATAGGGTGTCACCATGTTGGTCAGGCTGGTCTCGAACTCCTGACCTCAGGTGATCCACTCACCTCAGCCTCCCAAAGAGCTAGGATTACAGGCGTGAGCCACCATGTCCGGCCCCCTTTTCTCTTAATCTGACTTTTGTCAGTTGATTTTCAGCAGAACTTCAGAGGGCAAAGAGGAAGTTTTCCCCAAGCCCCTCAGTGACCTGGGTAATTGGGAATCCTGTGTCATGTCTATGTTTACAGCACTGGCTATGGAAAGGTGACAAATGATAGGAACAGAAATAAGTTTCCAGAATGAAAACTGGCAAGTGCGTCTCTGTTAGCCGATAATTCCTAGTTGGGGGAAGGAGAGGGCACACCTGGCAGTACCTATAGGGTGAGTGGAGAATCCCCTGATAATGGAGATGGCTGGGGTTTGGGGGTGCATCTGGCAGTGCCTGTGGGGTGGCTGGAGAACCCCTGACCATGTTCACATGGAATGATTGGGGTTTGGGGGTGCACTTGGCAGTCCCTGTGGGGTGGCTGGGGAGCCCCGGAAAAGCCCATGGGTCACCGAGTGGTGTGGGGACGCACCTGATGATGCCCGGGTCCTTCCTCCGGTGTCCCGAGGGCCGGCGCCACTCCTCAACCATTACCACAGACTGCCGGTTGGCGAGGAGGCCGCAGAGAAACAGGGCGAGTGGGGGTGTGAGCAGCAGGCCCAGGCCATAGAGTGCATTGTAGCGCGCCAGGCAGGGACAGTTGAAGTCGAAGGAGGAGTACAGCTTGACAGTGACTGCAGCCAGCAGCAGGCAGATGCCATTCATCACCGACTCTGAGCTCGACTGGAAGTGCTGGAAGAGCATGCGGAATTTATCCATGGCTCCAGCCTGGGTGGGTGGGTGGCTGTCAAGCGGGCACAGTGGGGCTCTGGCCACCTTCCTGGTGTCTGCTGTGCTGGGGCTGAGCCTGGGATCTGCAAGCGGTTCTCTCTCTTCTTCCAAGGGCCTGAGGGGCCAAGGAGGAAGCAGTGCCCAGGCCCCAGCCCAGGCTCCCGGAGTCCAGCCGGGCACTTAAGGCAAGGACAGGCTCTCTCCACGAAGTTTCCCCTGGCCTGGTGCCACTCCCCCTGTCTCTGGGGGAATGAGTCACCCTCTGTGAACAGCAGCTCAAAGCACCTCTAGGCAAATGGGCTCCACCCTGTAACTCTATTCCTTCTAGCCCATTTCTCTTTGCTTTAGGGTCTGGATGCTCAGGTCTGACAGCTGCTGGGGTTTCCTTGGGGGATGGGCAAATTCTGGGTGTGGTGAGGCAAAGATGCTGACGGAGCCAAAGTATATTTTCTGGTCTTGATCAAAAACATGACTTTGAACTTGTCTCGGAGGCATAATAAAACAACAATAGCAGCAACAACAAAAAAATATGACAACTCAGTCAGCCCAGGGAGATTTCATGTTGGCTTTCAGGCTGGGAGGAGCCGGGAGGAGCCAGGAGGAGCCAGAAGGGGCACCTATTCCTGCCTGAAGGCTTCTTGGAAGAGGAGACCCTTGAGAAGAGTCTTCAACTATGTTTCAGGATTTGCCATAAAAGGGGTGGCGGAAGGGGATGGCCTCGCTGAGAGACGTGCTAATCACTGTGCATTAACCACTGGGTGCCATGGGAGAGGCTTCTCAAGTGCCATGCCCCACCTGCATGGATTTCCCCCGCTTCTCCCATGTGAGGGATATGCATGTGAAACCACTGCCTCTTCTCCTAACTTTCCTGATGTCATCAGGTCTCTTCTTGTGTCTCAGTTCCAGCCTCTCTGAAGGATGACAGCTCAGATATTTGAGGGACCCCAAAAACCTGCCAAATGATTTTTTTTTTTTTTTTGAGACAGTCTTGCTCTGTCGCCCAGACTGGACTGCAGTGGCACAATCTCGGCTCACTACAACCTCTGCCTCCTGGATTCAAGCGATTCTCCTGCCTCAGCCTCCTGAGTAGCTGGGACTACAGGCGCGCACCACCATGCCCAGCTAATTTTTGTGTTTTTAGTAGAGACGAGGTTTCACCATGTCCAGGCTGGTCTCCATCCCTTGCCCCGTGATCTGCCTGCCTCGATCTCCCAAAGTGCTGGGATTACAGATGTGAACCACCATACCCGGCGGCAAAATGAATTTTGTAAAGGTCACTTAGCCTGGAAGTCAGATCATCCCAAATAAGTCCTGCAAATTTCACAACCACCAGTGTGGGCTGTACTTCTGATGAAGACAGAAAGAAACGTGAGTCTAATTATTATTATTATTATTATTTATTTGAGACTGAGTCTTGCTCCGTCACACAGGTTAGAGTGCAGTGGCATGATCTTGGTTCACTGCAGCCTCCACCTCCCGGGTTCAAGTGATTCTCCTGCCTCAGTCTCCCAAGAAGCTGGGATTATAGGTGCCCACCACCACATTCAGCTAAGTTTTGTATTTTTAGTAGAGACGGGGGTTTCGCCATGTTGGTCAGGGTAGCCTCGAACTCCTGACCTCAGGTAATCCACCTGCCTTGTCTTTCCAAAGTACTGGGATTACAGGCATGAGCCACTGAGCTTGGCCACTTATTATTTTTATTTTATATATTTATATGTTACTCTGGGTCCTCTAAGATGGATTTCCCTGTGTGAGGGAAATGAGGAGGGATGGGAGAAGATGGGGAGAGTCAGCAGCGGCCCTGCGAGTCTGACTCTGAGCAGAGGAGGGGGCAGGACAGGGGTGAGAAACCCTTCAAGCCAGGAGGACAATCACCACCACATTTTCAGTTGGGTACAGTCCCAGAGGGGCTGTCTGAGGTCACATAGCCTAGTGGGAACAGAGCTAGGGAGGAAGCTGGGATCCTCCGTCTGTGCCTTTCAGCTTTAGTCACCCACTGGGCTGCTGACCAGAAAAGGGACTGTCCTGGCCCAAGGCCCCAAGGCCAGGTTTCTTGACCCTGAACCAGCAGGGCGGGTGTGGAGCAGGTGGGAAGCAAACTGGGCTGGGAGAGTCATGAGCACCCCTCAATCCCATTCTAGTCTCAGGGAGGGATAGAGTACCCTGAGGGGCCCCAGCCACTTTAACCTTGGGAGTCTCCAGAAAGGAGTAGACAATCCTGGCTGGACGCGGTGGCTCACGCCTGTAATCCCAGCACTTTGGGAGGCCAAGGCAGGCAGATCACGAGGTTGAGAGATCAAGACCATCCCGGCCAACACGGTGAAACCCCGTCTCTACTAAAAACACAAAAATTAGCTGGGCGTGGTGGCACGCGCCTGTAGTCCCAGCTACTCGGGAGGCTGAGGCAGGAGAATTCCTTGAACCTGGGAGTCGGAGGTTGCAGTGAGCCATGATCACCCCATTGTACTCTAGCCTGGGCGACAGAGTGAGACTCGGTCTCAAAAAAAAAGAAAAAAGAAAAGACAATGCTTCTGGGAGAAAACTGAGTCAAAGGCTCTCCAGGCCAACCTTTTCACAGCTCTTGCCTCTGAGAGGTAAGACAGAGTTCCCAGGTCAGCCTGAGTCCCTGGAGCCCTGCAGGGAAACAGGTGCTGAGTGGCTGCAGCGGGGCTGACCCTTGCTGGGTATTTACAGGAAATACTTCAGCAAAGAAACAGGCCAGAAAGAAGCCTACCACAAAAGGGATATTGTCTCTCAAAGAGAGGGGATGGTTTTAAAAAAAAAAATCTCTATTTTCTGAATGGTCTACTTTTATAATAGTAGACATAATAAATCATTATTATAATCATAATAATGATTTTTAACAATTTCCAGTAAGAATCATAAAATATTTTTTGTTTCTTTGTTTTTTGAGATGGCGTTTCACTCTTATTGCCCAGGCTGGAGTACAATGGCAGTGATCTTGGCTCACTGTAACCTTCACCTCCTGGGTTCAAGCGATTCTTCTGTCTCATACTCCCAAAGTGCTGGGATTACAAGCATGAGCCACCACGCTCGGCCAAAATATTTGTATTGGAAAAACATAAAAAAATAAAGGACAAGGCAAAAAGGAGAATCCCATTTTGTTGCCTGGAGCTTGGCCCTGCTTAACTAGGAGAAGAAGAAATGGAGTAATAAATGGAGAAAGACTTCTTTTATTCACACATATGGAATGATATTAAATTGCAGATCTGGCTATAATCCCAGCACTTTGGGAGGCCAAGGCAGGCAGATTGCTGGAGCTCAGGAGTTCGAGACCAGCCTGACCAAAACATGACAAAACCCTATACTAAAAATACAAAAAATTGTATTAGCTTCTTGGGAGGCTGAGGCAAGAGAATTACTTGAACCCAGGAGGCGGAGGCTGTGGTGAGCCCAGATCACTGCTCTCCAGCCTGGGTAACAAAGAAAGACTTTAACAATTTTTACATTTTTCTTTTGAGAGAGAGTTTTGCTCTTGTAGCCCAGGCTAGAGTGCAATGGTGCGATCTCGGCTCACTGCAACCTCCGCCTTCCGGGTTCAAGCCATTCTTCTGCCTCGGCCTCTCAAGTAGCTGGGATTTCAGGCATGCACCACCATGCCCGGCTAATTTTATATTTTTAGTAGAGTCGAGGTTTCTGAATGTTGGTCAGGCTGGTCTCGAACTCCTGACCTCAGGTGATCCGCCTGCCTCAGCCTCCCAAAGTCCTGGAATTACAGAGGTGAGCCACCACATCTCGCCTACCTTTTTCTTTTTAATAATGATTTAAATCTTTTTTTAAAAACCAGTTGTAAATATGTGTTAATTTGCAAGTGGAAGATCTTTATAGAATAAATCTTTGGTTTCTTTTTCGTGTTGTTTATTTTCAAATTGGAGTTTTGCAGATATATTCTTGGGAGTCTTCCATATATATTTTTTTATCTTTGCAAAGGAGTCTTGATATTATTTGAGAAACACTGGCTTTACCATTCTTGACATTCCTGCTATTGAGAGGGTTTTTTAGGACGAGATGTCCCCTACTGGAGAAACTCGTTGTATGGGATGTGTGAGAGAGGTGTATATATACCTGTGTACACATGTGTACACTTGTATGTGTATGTGTGTAGCGCATGTGTACGTATTTGGTGTGTGTATGCATGTGTGTTTTCATAAATATGGGTGTGGCTGTCTTCCTGCTTTTTATATGGTGAGCATGCTCTCCCCTGGCGGTTCTTTTGCTTCTTTTTCCTCCATAGGGAAGGCATTGAATGTGCGTTCCGCTTCTCAGGACTGGGAGACTATGGTTCTGTGTGTCCAGCAGGGTGCAGTGCCCTTTCTGTCTCTTGGTGGCCTGATTCTCTGCTTCCCTGAGGACACAGACCTTTGAGGGGTCCTGGCAGACCTGGGGAAAGCATTGTGGCACTTCTGTGGGCCCCACTCTGGTGACTCTGCAGAGCCACATAGCCCTAAGGGCAGAGAGAGGCTGAAAATGAAATGAGGCCATCTAACAGATGGCGCTGGAACCACTGGAGATCCATTAGGGAGCAATCTTTACTTCATGCCAAAATAAACTCCACAGGGTTCAAAGATTCAACATAAAAATTAAAGTCATACAAATTCTACAGGAAAACATATATGAATTTATTCATTATCAGAGGCTAATGAAGGTCTTTTTGGACAGACCCCAGAATTTAGTAGCCATGGAGGAGAAGATGGACAAAGTAGGAGTCATAAAAATTAGAAGCTTCTATGGGCAAAAACACCAATAAGCAAAATAAAAATAAACAGAAAGAAGGATATTTGTCACACATAGGCCACACAAAGGCCTCTTTCCCTTAATTCGCAGAAGGCTCATATAAGTCAACAAAAAAGATGAACAATCCTGTAGAAAAATGGGTAAAGAATTTGAACAGACTATTCAAAAAAAAAAGAGAGAGAGAGAGAGACAAGTGACCAAACATCCTGCAAAAAAGAATTTTTGCGGCCGGGTGCGGTGGCTCACACCTGTAATCCCAGCACTTGGGGAGGCCGAGGCGGGTGGATCACGAGGTCAAGAGATCAAGACCATCCTGGTCAACATGGTGAAACCCCGTCTCTACTAAAAATACAAAAAGTTACCTGGGCATGGTGGCGCGTGCCTGTAATCCCAGCTACTCAGGAGGCTGAGGCAGGAGAATTGCCTGAACCCAGGAGGCGGA